TTTGTACCACTACAATATAATAGTTATTACGGTGAGGTTGAATTCCCGAACATTTATTCATCATTCACGCACGAACTTGTCTCAGAAAAAAAATATATCTCTGTACATTAACATTACTTTCAGGTACAGATAGGATTTTTTTTCTGGGACAAGTGCTTGTGACCATCCACAAGAATTTGCGGTCATCCGATGATCAGTACTTCACTACTTTGATTATATCTGTTCTTGTCTATACCAGTTTTCAAGAAAAGGTTTCTCTATAGATAAGTTATCAAGATAATAGCCAATAAAACAACAAAACTCTGAAGAGCCAAAATTGCCCAAAAAGGACCTTTACTATAGAGTTTACTCAGACACATTGCACTATTATTTTTTTTAAAATCTATTATAGTTTCCAGGATAAACGAAAAATATTAAAAGCCGCTGCCGTAAATCTTCACTTTGAAAAATTCAAAATACAACTCTCTATATCTGTAAGAGAACAACAGGTCTCAGTAAACAATAAATAAATGCAGTGTTTAAGTTCATTTAGACACCAATCTGATTAGATTACAGGTATTGTGTGTTCAAGCTTTGCTTACGCCGATCTGAAAACGCTCAATTCAGGACCATTGGGATTCTCTGGTTTTGTCAGATTTAAACACACCTTCAAAAATATGAAATTTTATTGGCTGATGTAATATTAACCAGGACAGAAAGTAAAACGAAGTGTTGTCAAATCCTTGTAACCAAAGCTTAGATTATATATTAATCATTTGTTAGACACCGACTGTAGTGTGGGTAGGAGCACGTGTATTTCCTTGATGGACTTTAATAAAAAAGAACACGGTTATTTTTTTTTTAATTTCATTATTGTTTTATTTTTCCCTGATTTAAAATTAAAACAAACTATTTCGCTCCCCATCTGAAAATATAAAATCTCTTTCAAGAAATTTGGAATCAAACATTTTCCAAAAATGTTGCCCCCCCCCCCTCCCCTCACCAAAAAATGAGCGGCTTCCCACAAAACCTTTTATATTGCGGGTTACTGCATGTGGTGGTGCTTTCGTGGTAGCATGTTCGCATAGAGTGGGAGAGGTCATGGGTTCGACCCCCGGCCGGGTCAAATCCAAAGACTTTCAAATTGATATTTGCTGCTTCCCTGCTAAGCCCGCGAAATTAAGGAATAAGAGCAAAAGCTGGTCGGCTCGGAATCAGAAGAATTTGTCCGCATGTGGCAGGTAAGCTCGACTCCTATCTTAATTGACCAGAATTGTCAGTTTTCCAAACGAAGGTTGGGTGGTCTCTCTGTGAACTTCGGCTTCCTCCACCAAAATAAACTCACCGCCACGAAATAGCATGAAAGTGTTGAAAGTGGCGGTAAATATAAATCAATCAACAAATTAATCAATCAATCATCCATACCGGTATAATTATAGCCTCTAAATCTATATCTTTATTCTCTTAAAGTCAATGTTTGACATCAGTACAGAGATAACAATAATAACTTTACAGTATATACAAAACAAGAGAGAGAGGTTTCAAAAGTCTTTAGTCAGGAGGTATAAAAAATTTAAGATATATTTCTAATTCTCTTTCCAGATCTTCTGGTATAGTTCTGTTAAGTCCTGTAATATTTTTACTCACTAAGAATTTTTTTTAGTCAATCAAAAGTAAAGAAAATATAAAAGGTGATAAGTTTACTCCTTGTCGAACACCATTGTCACAAGCAAGCAAAGTATTTCGAATTATAATTACTAGAAGATGCCAGCGAAAGCGCGGAACAATTGGGCAAGTGTTGAAACAAAGAGTGTGGACACAGTAATAAGGTGGACACAGTAAGGATTTGGACACGTTTAGTGCATTTAATTCTTTTTCTTTAAAGAGACGAAAACGAGGAACATAATGCAAAAGACGGGCATCACCCCATTCATATCTGTTGGAAAATAAAAATATCAAATACCCTAAATTGAAAAGGTGTGGCAAAGTGTGATTTTTTTTCCTTTTTACTAAATAACCGTATAAACTACGTAAAATCCTTTGACATTACCGAAAAGGATCAAAATGAGTACACAATGAAAAAAATCCCATCTAATCGGATGAAAAATAAAATCCAAAACACTTCACCAGGAATCAACCCCTCTGTATACTCAAGTTGCAGAATTTTATTAGCAATTAAAAAAATCTCCATTAAAATAAGTTGAAAATAAACAATCTGTATATACAAATATGTGAACATTACCCAACCTGACCATTTCGCATTTGACGGGCAGTACGTGGACTAAGCATGCGGTCTCCAAATTTGGATATTTTGGCTTTTTCTGTGGAAAAAAGATTGTTTCAAAGACAAATTAAGGAAGTACAAAACACTACATGTATACGTCATATCACAATTATTTCCGACTTTGTATGGTTTTGTAGGAGTAACACTACATTATACATCTTACCATTTATATTATTCAATAACATTTCATAAAACAAACCATCTCGCCATATTATGCACGAGTAGATAATTTTATAGCTATTGTTGTGAAATATTTTTAAAACTGACTGTGAGTTGTCAATGGTGCATTTTGCAATGACTAGAAATAAGAAGATGTGGTATGAGAGCCAATGAGAAAACTCTCCATCCAAGTCATAATTTGTAAGAGTAAACAATCATAGGTCAAAGTACGACCTTCAACACGTAGCATTTGCTTAACCCAAATAGCAAGCTATAAAGAGCCTCAAAATTTGTTTTATCATATTTTTCGCCACAGCCGCAAATTTCTCCTATTAGCTCCTGTATTAATTGATCTTAATCTCCCTCCGAAATGTTTGAAACGTTGATTTTGTTGAATTGCATTGTCTCATTTTTCCTATTATTTGCACTCTCGCTAGCGATAGACATATATTTGAGCTGGGTTTATAGTTTACAGAAGCAGATCGGAACCAGTTATGACGTAGACAGTAATCATTCTAATCGTAATCATGTTCATTGACCATAACGACGATGAAAGCATATCATATAATGACGTTTCGACATCATATAATGAAGTAAACCAAACCACATCATATAAGATTACAAGCACATAATATAATGACACAACCACATCATATAAAGATATTTGCACATAATATAATGGTAACTGCACATCATATAATGATATGTACACATCATATAAGTATATCTGCACATCATATAAGTATATTTGCACATCATATAAGGATCTTTGCACATAATATAAGTACATTTGCACATCATATAAGTATATTTGCACATCATATAAGGATCTTTGCACATAATATAAGTACATTTGCACATCATATAAGAATGTTTGCACATCATATAAGAATGTTTGCACATCATATAAGTACATTCGCACATCATATAAGTACATTTGCACATTATATAAGTATATTTGCACATCATATAAGTAAATAAGCACGTCATATAAGTATATATGCACATCATATAAGTATGTTTGCACATCATATAATTATGTTTGCACATCATATAATGATGTTTGCACATCATATAAGGATGTTTGCACATCATATAAGGATGTTTGCACATCATATAAAGGTGTTTGCACATCATATAATGACAAGTGCACATCATATAAAGGTAAATGCACATCATATAATGAAAATGGTCATAACAAGACAGTGTTGGCGTTCCATAGGTAACTTTAGGTTGCCCATGAACCCTTCCTCCAATAACTCAAATTTGCTTTCACCAATTCCCACAAAATTTAAAAGGACACAAGGATTGATAGAAGGAAGCTTCCTTCTTGATTGTAAAAGTCTTTGGTGGCGTCATTTTTTATTTTAAAAATCTATGATTTGTTATTCCACAGTTATGGGGAATTGGATGGTCAGATTAATGAAAGGTAACGTCATGCACTAGATCTAGTATGCTAGGATTTATTTAACGTATTTTACACTTTTTTTGATATTGGTGAATCTAGACTCGCTTTGGATTTGTACTGGTATTTTATGGTTAATCATTCCAGAGTTATGGGACTGTTAACATTTATTTTTTTACGCAATATTTTCATATGGATATATTTCATGCATGTTTTCCTACACAGCCATTTTACTAACTTGTTATTAGATGCTTCCTAAATATTTCTTATAAGATATTTATTAAAAAGACAAAAGAAAAATAGAAAATATTTTGTAGTTATTTTTCCCTTGAGCAGATAAAATATGTGTAACGCGGGGGACGTTGAAACGCTTTTCCTTTATTAATGTTTGTTCTAATGTTGTGCTGTTACACCAGTATCCCAGATTAGGAAGGCGGGATCATTTTAAACCACATTTTGTCTGTTTGCTTGTCCATACAACCATTACTGAATCTTCATTTATTTTTGATTTTGGTGTATTTTCTTTCTCGGTTATGCATTATCTGTCCTTCTGTTTATGGCATCCATCTTTAAACTTTCTATTATATTTACAATATAAATTGAACACACAAAAAGTAGATGCTTCTGTCTATTTAGAATAATATGTGTAGTTTTTACAGGCCTAATATTGAATCTTCATCAGGCAAAGTTGACCTTCGACAATTTTCGTTGTTTCATTTAAGTGCATGCTTGTGTTTTTTTATGCTTTCTGACACTTACTATTTGCATCTTTCCAAATTTTTTATCTGAAGCGAAGCTGCTGGATGTAAAATAACCAGAAAACACGCATTATGCCCACGAAAATCATATAACACTTGTCTGAGCTACAATTTGTAGAATAGTTTGAAAACTGAATATAACTGAAACACAGATAAAGGCATTTGGTGCAGAATTGGACGTTTAAAATCCAAGAGTCGAAGAAAGGCTGACAACAAATGACCAAGAGAAAGAAAAGATGAAAGGACAACAACAATCCTCCCAAAATATTTGGATAAATTCTGGGCTGTCTCAGATCTAAAAGGAGTCTGGACATGCAAACCCTGATCTACTGTCGTGTCGTGTTGCTTATGTTTTGTGAAATTTCAAAACCTTAATTTATTCAAAAACTTTTTATTTATAAGTGTACATCATGATACTATTGAATGATCGGATTTCTGAGGTATATGTTTAATCTAAATATGGATATGCATATATGAATATTTAATTAAGGTGTCGGTACCATATCGAAAATTTTTATCAATTCCGATGATATGTTCCTTCCGAAGTTTGTCGAGGGACGCCGAAGTTTACCAAAGTGATAAGCAGAAATGTTGTGATGTCTTAAGCGAACAATAGACACATTAAAAAAGAACTTTGTAATCCTTGTAAACTACGTTTATGCATTCCCAGCGTTCTAATTCTAGCAAGGGAGGTAATATTCAAATAAATATGCCAAGAACTACGGCGTACCCATTGAAAAATCGTTTCTTAATTGGTATTTCCATCAATCATGGTACATATTCCTTAACCAGTAAATCTTTGTTATTCTCCCCACCATGGTTCTACTGGTTCTACAATTATTTCTTCATTGCTTTCAGAATTTTGTTTAACTATGTTTTCATTCATATAGTCACAGCTATCATCAGACGAGTTTTTCTTTTTCGGTAATTCCATAGATTTAAAATCGTCTAATTCGTCTGGTTTGCAGAAATAGATATAAACCTGAAATGAGAAGAATGAAATTAAGAAGTAGATCTTTTATAAGGTGATACGGGGTCGCTCATTTCCCTAATCCCGCTTTTTTTTGTATTTTTTTACCACTTCCCACTTCCCCTTCTTTTTCTTTTTCTTAGATCCCACTTTTTACCCCAGCTGCCCAATAATCCCACACCCACTTTACCTCCTATATCCCACATCCTAACTTTCCCCTTTATCCCACATCCCCACTTTACCCCTATATCCAAAATTTTTACTCTCTATATTCCAGATCCAAAAGTCGTGTCATTTCCTACCTTTAAAGGCTACAACACAATTTTCGACAAAATCGATGACCAATAAAATATATATACATTTTTATATTGCACGCGTGGGCTTGATGAACAATGAAATAATATAAAAAACCTAGAAATTTACACTGAACGCATGTATTTGTAAAAGCACGGTGAAACTAAAAACCAATTTCGCACTATATATATCACTGATTATCAGCATTCTTGTCTGATTTTTAATCCAAAGTGGCTTATTAACACATAAACTTATCTATACTTTGTCAACAACCTGACAGTGATGACTATGCAAGAGCTGCTCGGTCATCTGCCTTTGAATTTTACGGACATGACTGATTTCGATTGAGCGCACTGAATTATTTCATCCACTTTAAAGTCGAAATTAGCCAACCTTTCACTTGCCGAGCGTGCCCAGCCACCCCCCCCCCCCCCCTTTTTCAAGCCTGTTATATACACATAGAGCCTTGTTCAGAAGCAGTTTAACTAATTTTGCAGTTTTGTGACCATGTTTTTAGAATATTTTGATATTTTTTGATAAATATTATTATTTTTTTGTCTAAATCGTAAGTTATGCCCCTTCTAAGAATAAGAAGTTGGCGATAACGGAAACTGAAAATTTTGGATATTTGTGATAAATTCGGATTCAGGTCGTCTGTCTCTGTCACTTTTCGAGAAAATATTATCTAGTCTGGTTTCGTAATTGGTAACCTTGGAAATACCAACGGTCTGTTGGTATATTATATTCCATCATATTCATCAAAAATAGTAAAGCCAACCGTGATAGGGCTCCATATTTATAAAGCCAGTCAACGTCGTTAAACACCCCATAGTAATATCAAAGGTAATGTCGATCAAAAAGTACAGCATACTGGTAACCATTACTTTTGCATACAAATTATTGAAAGTGTGTTTCTATTACAATTATCATCGATCTAGGACGTGAAACTGTTTCTATTACAATTATCATCGATCTAGGACGTTAAACTGGTATCTTCATTCAACGGAGGAAAATGAAGGCTACCTTTCAATTTAAAGTAGGGAAAAGTAGTGTAGAAATATAAGTTTTTATATACTGTTGGAAAAATTAGTGACTGCGATGAAGACATTAGAATAAATCATTACAGTAATGCCACACCTCTATTCAATAAAATGATTCTTTCGGATATGAGTATAGCGAAAAAAATTAAATTTACCTCATCCATATATCCTTTAAAGTTCTCCATTCCAGTACCTTTCCCAATATATATTCCGGAAAATGTTGTTTTAACTGGACCTGAAAAGAAAAGGTTCAGTCAAAGTAAGATAACTCAGAATTATTTAGTATTTTTGATATGCAAAAAATCTACCAATAGTTGAAAAGTTTAGTACGATTCACCGCGAAAAAAAATATTACAAAAAAAAAAAAACACCTAAGCGAAATAAGGGTTTATTATAAATACAAATAATATTTGCTGTAATAAAATGCTAATAATTCACAAATCTTCTTTATATGCATAAAAGCCTTACCTGGCCAAACTATAAAAGAGGGACGAAAGATACCAGAGGGACAATCAAACTTTAAATAATAACTTCTGTAAATTCAGAAATTAGTGCGAGGTTTTTATTAATGCGAATAATGCGACTTGGTGATTATCGCAATAATAAGAACTCGCATTCTGATATCTAATATATATATCTGTATGCAGATTTTCCTGAAATCACAATAATTAATCTCGCATATTTTCCATTCTTAAATGATCGTTATGATAAATGCACGTAATTATCTCTGAATATAGTATATTATACAGTACTAAAACGTCAAAAAAAAAAATAAAAATAAAAAAACAACACATAAACTTAAAGGCTTTGAGCATATCATGAGGGCAATGGAATTTTTGGATTGGCAAATGAATTTTCTGCAATTGCCAAAATCCCGTATTAAAACTGCACGAAAGATGGCTCCTTCAATAAATTCGTTTACCTTTTCATAGCTTTATTCCTTGAATTATCGTCAGTTTGGTAGCGGTCACGGATTACAGATTGTTGGACTAAGTGCGAACGAAAAGTAATTCAATAAAACAAGAAAAGATGATTTTTTCATATATTTCATTTCTATTTAAGCGTTTTAATTCGTTACCTGATACTGGTTCAAAGTCTGTGGAATCTTCGTCATAAGCACGAAACACCCCCTCATTAATGGTAAATATCACTGTTCTCCAATCGTCATCATCCTACGTTTTGAAACAGATTAAACAATTAATATATACATGTATTAGATATACTCATGACGGCGTATATCTAATTAACACTAATATAGTATGGTTAATGCAAAGGGATAGTTTTCAATTTTAATTTATGAGGCGGGTACCTTCGGCAATTTGATCTTATGTCATGGTGAAGCATGAGGAATGCAGGATATCCAATTACATTTGATGACACCTTGGTTGAAACTATTGCTAGTACTAAATTACAAAACCAATAATAAAAGACAGGACAAAATAAATACGAATGTATGAACAACTAAATAAGAAAGAAGTACAACATCTGAGATTCCCTTATATGACTTAGGGAGCTACCATTTGATTTTTATGGGGAGGGGGGGGGGGCTAGGATGAAAAATTGTGTCCTGCTTTTTTTTTAGTTGTAATCTCTGTCCTGCCTTTTTATTTTTCACTCTATTCGGTCCTGCCTTTTTTTTTAAAGTTTATCTTGACTTTTTTTTACCTAAATTGTCATCCTGACGTTTTTTTTTGCAAGTGTCTCATCCTGCCTTTTTTTTTTTACTCAAAACTCCTGTCCGGCCTATTTTTTTCAAATTTCATCCTAGCCCCCCATAAAAATCAAATGGTAGCTCCCTTAAAGAAAACAATCAACAATTATTGCTAGTAAAATTAGGGAAACATAATAGTTTGTCAGGTACAATTATCATTTAGGTACCACTACATGCTTTAATGTCTGCATTGTCTACAGTAAGATAAACGTATTCATGCCAGTGGCACCACTATCCCAGGATAAGGGGAGGGTTGGGCGCCCGCTAACATGTTTAACCCCGCCACATTCTGCATGTGCCTGTCCCAAGTGAGGAGTCTGTAATTCAGTGGTTGTCGTTTGTTGCTGTATATCAAATTTTATTTTCGTTTATTATTTTGTACATAAATCAGGCCGTTAGTTTTTCTCGTTTGAATTATTTTACATTTGTCATTTTGGGGCCTTTTATAGCTGACTATGTGTTAATTGCTTTGCTCATTGTTGAAGTCCGTACGGTGACCCAAAGGTGTTAGTTTCTGTGTTATTTGGTCTCTTGTGGAGAGTTGTCTCATTGCCAATCATACCACATCTTGTTATTTTTATATTAATCGCGACCTTTAATTTGTTAATCATTGATGAAAGAAATTTTTAGAAAGACTAAATTGACTATCCTTAAATTGGCCGGCATACACTGACTACAATTTAAGTCGAATTGATTTTTATTTGTTAGAGAAATCCAAATATCAATTTGCATTTTCAGTTATACTTGAGTTTAAAAAAAAATGCGAACCCTAACCTCTAGCAGCTACATAGTTTGAATTTATTCTGTTGGTCATGAATGTCTCTCGTGAATTTTGCACAACTTTTCAGAATTTTCGATTTTTAATACTTCTTATTATTTTGGCCTTACAACTGTTTTATTTGGCCTAACAACTGTTTTATCTGGCCTCACAATTGTTTTATTTGGCATTAAAACTGTTTTATTTGGCCTTACAACTTTTTTATTTGGCGTCACAACTATTTTATTTGGCCTAACAACTGTTTTGATTTGGCCTCACAACTGTTTTGATTTGGACTTACAACTGTTTTATTTGGCCTCACAACTGTTTTGATTTGGACTCACAACTGTTTTGATTTGGCCTCACAACTGTTTTGATTTGGACTTACAACTGTTTTATTTGGCCTCACAACTGTTTTGATTTGGACTTACAACTGTTTTATTTGGCCTCACAACTGTTTTGATTTGACCTCACAACTGTTTTGATTTGGACTTACAACTGTTTTATTTGGACTAACAACTGTTTTGATTTGGACTAACAACTGTTTTGATTTGGGACTTACAACTGTTTTGATTTAGCCTCACAACTGTTTTGATTTGGACTAACAACTGTTTTATTTGGCCTCACAACTGTTTTGATTTGGCCTGTTTTGATTTGGCCTTACAACTGTTTTGATATGGCCTTAGAACTGTTTTGATTTGGACTGACAACTGTTTAATTTGGCCTCACAACTGTTTTGATTTGACCTTACAACTGTTTTGATTTGGACTGACAACTGTTTTATTTGGACTCACAACTGTTTTGATTTGGCCTCACAACTGTTTTGATTTGGCCTTAGAACTGTTTTGATTTGGACTAACAACTGTTTTATTTGGCCTCACAACTGTTTTGATTTGGCCTCACAACTGTTTTGAATTTGCCTTACAACTGTTTTATTTTTATTTGGACTGACAACTGTTTTATTTGGACTCGCAACTGTTTTGATTTGGACTTAAAACTGTTTTTTTTTTTGGCCTTACAACTGTTTTATTTGGCCTAACAACTGTTTTATTTGGACTCACAACTGTTTTGATTTAAGTGCCACTAATGAGTCTTATGTAGAAGAAACTCGCGTCTTGCATACCATATTATGATATAAATAAGAAGATGTGGTATGAGTGCCAATGAGACAACTCTCCATCCAAGTCACAATGTGTAAAAAGTAAAACAATTGTAGGTCAAAGTACGGCCTTCACCACATAGCCTTGTCTCACATTGAACAGCAAGCTATAAAGGGCACCAAAAGGACTAGTGTAAAACAATTCAAATAGGAAACCAACGGTCTAGTCTATATAAATTCGAGAAACTATAAGCATGGCGTATTCGATGAGTTTTTACCTTTGCACTATTTTTACTTACCTTATCACTTTTATTTAATTTGATGTTTGTCCTTTTGCTCTCTGTAGCATAAACAGAACATGTGGTTGTTTCACTGTTTGTACCAATCGACAGAGATGGATCTTCTAGACAGCCAGATTTGGACATACTACTGCATGCTCCGTTTGATATCAACGCCATATCTGACCTTGAACTTTTCCGAAATCTTTCTTTTTTAAGATTCACGTTATTTATAATTTCTTTTCTAGAGTTTTCCATTTCTTGCAACATTTCATTTCTTTCTCTTCGAATCCTGCTAATAAATTTTAATCTTTCACGCTTCTCATCAATGTTTGTCTTTGCAAAATACATTTCTTCCTTTTGAAGTTGACTGCCTAAACTAGTTCGAAGATTTGAATTTCCAAAGTCGGAACTTAATTCAAAATTGCTATCAACATATCCTTCGCTTATTGCACTGCTGACGTCGCTGTCGGTATCTTTGTCGCTATTGCTGCTTCTACGAGTATTTTTACGACGTTTTTTCTGATTACTGCTGTCATCGCTTCCTTTGCTATCATCGCTATTGTCACTATCATTCCTGGTTCGAAGCTTTCGTCTGTGTTTGGAATTTTCCTCACTCGAATTCTCCCATATTTCGACAGCATCTCCTTCATTATTAATCTCATCGCTGCTATAATCCCGGTAGAAATCTCGTTTTTCTCCAAACCCGTGTCTAAATTTTCGCCCTTTATAACTTGATGATTGAAAAACTTTCATATTTTGATTCTGCTTTCCATTGTCTTCACCCGACGATCCGTCATTTCTTTGCTTTACCCTTTGAACAGATATACCATTATTTTGATCGATTCTTTCATGGCTTCTTGCTTGACCATTTGTTTGATCTTGTATAACATCGACAAGCCCACTATTTGAAAAAAAATCACTACTACCGCTGGATTTTTGATAAGTTGACATAATTTCATCACTTCCTCTCTTATTATCATCATTTCCATTTTCGTCAGAATTTGCAAACCAATTTTTGAAATAAGATTCACCACTCCCACTATCTTTATCATTTTGAACATTCGATGAAACCTTATATTCTGAGTTATCGTTTTTAACACTGTTATCGTCCCCGTTACTGAACCAGTTCGTAAAGTAAGATTCATCTTCATTACTGTTTCCATCATTCACCTCATTGACAGTATTTTGAGCATTCTGAATGCTATTGTCAATTTTATCAAAGTTGTAGTCGTAATGAGCACCACGTTGATCATCGAAATGTGATGTTTCGAAAAACGACGAATACTGTTCACCGCTGTCAGAATCAGAACCTTTCCCATCTCCGATTTTATCGTCAGATTTTCCTATCTCACCAGACGATTTTGACATAGATATAGAATTATCGTTTCCGTCTCCACCACCGTCTTTATTTTTCGAATTCCAATCTTGTACGTTTCCCACCTCTCCAGATGATTGGCTTGTTGATATCTTGTTATCATCAGCTTGATTGGTGGTGGAATCTCCTGCACCAGTGGTGTCATCACTGAGACCTTTTTCATTAACACTGTCTGTGGCATCGTTAATATCATTGTTAACTTCTACATTCGAAAACGAGGCCTCTGCATTTTGATTAGTTATTTCCATATCTGCCATGGATTCTCCAACTTGATTGGTGGGTTCCATGTTAAATTCTACATTCTGATTGTGTTCTGTATTTGTTGTTCCCGCTGCGTCGCCATTTTGACCATCATTTTCTATTTTTGAACCTCTCCGTTGTCTGCTTAGAATTGATCGTTTTCTTCTCGTTTCATAGACGGACTCATTTGTATCATCCGCCTGTACATCAGGAGCATCGTCAGAAAAATCAGGTTTATATCTAAAAAAATAATCAGTACTTTGCACACACCTGAATACTATTTGTTTATTTGCACCAAGTATTTATCTTTAGTATAGAAATTTATGATTATTGTTTTGAAATACACAGTACTATGTGCTGTTAATTTTAAGTGATATTTATGCATTCACTAAGATTAAAGTATGTTGATCCATGCAGTGGAATGTGTACGGTTGATGTGGCTTGTCTTCTGTTGAAATCATATTAAAAATTGTAAACAGCACATAATAGAGTTTATGCTTTTCTGAATTTACCTTCATCAGGAACGCTCAAAGGCGAATACTTAAAAGCCAAGGATGTATAGTAACCAAATTAATTGAAGAGCTATCTGACTAAAAAAGGGCCTTAGAATAAAAGCCAAATCCATCCAAGGTCAGCTTTGCCTGAGGGAGTTGAAAACTGATTTTCTTAATAAAATATAAATGTATAAACTGACAATTTAAGAAAGGTTTGTTATAAATCATATCAGTACCGAAGCATTAACGATCAAGTATGTTTAAATACTGACACAGCACATCAGTCGTTTATAGAGAAGTTCACGTACTTATGCAAACCATTACTTGTGGATTTATTCAAAATGGTTAAACTAATGGCCACGACGTTTAATACCGTTCAACCAACTACATATTAACATCATATTTGTTTGTACAACAAATGCTCGATTATTTTCATTATAAGAAATAAATAATTTTTACCGAGAACATTTTCAATTCTACTCAAGAATTCATCCTATAGAAGGCATGCGATCATCATAATAATGCCACATACTTGTATGTAAGATTTCAATATTCAATAAACAAGATTTTATCAATAGATTTGATGGGGTAAAAATATCAAGGCAATCAAAAACCATAAGTTGAGGAAATAATGACAACCAAAAAAACATTGTGTAAAGGAAAAAAAGACAGACTAACAATAATCCACGAGACACTACAAAGAAAACTAACGATTGAGCAATTTGAACCCCATCAGAAACAGGGGCGTTAACTCACGAACAACGAAAAGTTTAAGTAATCAAATATAAGAAATTAAATCAAATATATGGACCAGTATTTAAATTTCAAGGGAATTAAATGTAGTATTCGTGAGACGTTATGTGATTAATAATTGCTTATGTTTTAATACTTACCTTATTTTTATATATATACTTTCTCCATAATGTGCACCAGAAAATCTTGGTATAAATAGACTGGACTTTCCATCAAAATAAGCTTTACCATTTACCACGACCACCTTATCATCTTCATTTTGAATTAAGGTATTTTTATTAGACCAGTCCTTAAATCCTTGACAGAAGGGCAAGTATAGTTCAGGTTTACAAGCTATGAAAAAATATTTTAAAATTATAATTATCAGAGTTTTGTCCTCACAACTCTGAAAAACATATTTTAAACAGTTTAAAATCGAAGATAGAATGATGTATTCAATTCAGAATCTGGAAGTAAACTTTGAAAGACAAATACATTGTTTTGATCTCTTCTATACATCTTATTTATATATCTGTACTATTCGTTATGCGCGCTATATATCATACACGCAATAAAGTTACAAGATTCTAAAAGTTAGCTGTAGGGAGATTCATATGTTATGTTGGGGCTTTTTTGTTTTAAATGCTGAAAGGCATCTGTATTTTGCTGTCTAAAAATTGGTTGCAAGCATTCAGACGGATGGTTATAACAATATTTCTTATTCTTTACACTGAAATAAGTATTATTGGTAATGGTTTATAAACATATGTAAAAGTAATATAAAAATAAAAAAAACATAAGCAGACAAACCCTGAAAAATAAGAGAAAAGGCACTCGACATGCACAAGTAAATGAAATTTATGTGAGATGGCAACTTTAATCCGAACCTAAACCAATATGTCTGAACATAAAAAGAATTTCCTATATTTGATATTTCACTTCCTGTAAATTCAAATGTAATAAGGTATTCTCATCCTATGAATAGAAAAAGTATAACAAACGTACAGACTCTAAGGCAATTTCAAAAAGGGGAAAACTGACAAAACCAAACGCTGTCAATCAACAGAACAAGTAAAATACAACTGCCATATTCCTGACTTGGTACAGGAATTATAGGAAGAAAATGGTGGTTTAAACCTGATTTTAATAGCTAGTGAAACGTCCCACGTGTATGACAGTTGTTTATAGTTCTGTTATATTGAAAAAATTGGGTGAGCAATCCAAACTGCCATAATAGGTTAATGTTACAATAATTGGAATCCAGTAACCCAAACTGTGTAAACATACATCACAAACATACAACACAACTGACAAGAAAAATCTAACAAACGTACAGATAAATCTATCAATGACGCAAACAAAAATGTGTTGTAGTAGATAGTAAAAGTTACAATCACGCCAACAAAAAAAACATTGTTGTCGTTGATAGTAAATTGACAAGGACGCTGATAAAATACAAGTTCAAACCTTAGCCCCCAGACATGTCAATTTATAATCAAAATCTATTTTCTAATCTACAATTTTTCTTAAATGGAATTTGATTGAAGAATTACAACAAAAACCAACAAATAAACAAATACACATGAACGGATAAATAAACACAAATATGCACCAAAATCCACATGGCTGATTAACATACTTTCTTTTGCTATGGCTCTGACTCCAAGTGACGTCATATGTGTTGTTCTCATTGTACATCCACAATCATTCTCATCAAAAAGTGTTCCAGGAGCACACAACATCTCAACCCAATGTCCGCTTTCAATCCATTGTTTATATAGATATGGCTTTCCAAACAACGGTTTCTTATCACAAGTCCCTGCAAAAGTAAAAATATGATTTAGGCAAGGCAAAAAGTTTGATAGAGTTTATTCTTGTAATGTTATTAAACTAAATTATTTAGTTTGGTTTAAATGAATCGAAAAGCTTAATACAATCGTATATTTTGAATGGTGGTATGGTTCGTAGATTATTTTGTATTTTCAGATCAAAAAGGGGAGCACATGCAAAGAGAGCAATCAAAAACTATTATGAGAAAACAGACAACGAATGGACCAAAAGAAACACAACAAACTGTCTAGAAAAACTCTAAATCGAAAATGTAAGGGGATTGAGCAACACGACTCACACAGAACACCCAGGTGTACTTTAAACGTTCTGTCATCGCAATTGACAATATTCAATATTTCAATGTAGTTATAACTTATCTATCATAGAATAAAAAAAATAGCAAAAGAAAGAGAAAGAAAACAAAAAACAAAAAACAAACCAACAAATTTTTTTAAATATATTTAAAACAACGGCAAATAAGTTCCTTATTATATTGAGAAACAAACCCGATTCATTCACGTCATTTGTACTCTGGTTGATAGTCTCATTAGCAAACATACCAGATAGTCTCATTAGTAAACATACCTTTCCTTATTTTTTAATAACTACAATCTCTGGTGAATTATATGTCAATGTATTCATACTTTGTGCGCATCATGGGGAGCCATTATTTCGATACTATAGCATAAGCTTTTGATAATAAAAAAGGAAGTATGAAAAAAGCAATCCTTTCAATATTGTTAATTTTACTGATGAATGAATAGACTTAAACTATCGGGACACTTTAGTGCTGAAAAGGCCCACGTGGTGGCACTGTGATGTTATACTTATTTCAACATTGACTAATTCATAGTTGTAAATTACATAAAGACGGGGAAGGCAACTGCCTCCTTGAACTGTCTTATTCGGAAAGAAAAATGTTCTACCCAGTCAACCGCATCCATTTTAAAAACACGACGGAAGAGGTCTTATGAAGATAAAACATTGACTTAGTTTATACTTCTGACATTTTACCAACTAGGGGCCGAATGAGGTAAACAAAAAGTGATTTTTCATATAGCCGATGTTTTTCGCTATGCAGTGAATAATTCGACTCGCGGGGATCAGTTGGTTTTTTGTACATAATCAGTCATTTTCACAAAATTAGGAGAACTGATGATAAGTCATGCATTTTCCTATTTGAATTTATTGGAAGAAAAGAACGTCATTTGAAAATGATTAAGCCTTTCAAAATCCAAATAACCTGTCTAATAACTTTGTCATGTTTGCAGTAACTGCTACCTTTTAGGGTTATTTGAATACAATGATCACATAAGGTAGAAATGTTTTTTTATATTTCAAATTTGTTAATAGAAGAGCACTTTTGAACTCTTAAAGACGCTTTGTAGCCCGTCATTTTCGTAAGTACACATCATTTCAGTGGTGAAAAGATTGGGCACATAAGAACATTACAGGAAAAATTGTTTTGTTTGTGGCAATGTAAAACAAGTGTGAATGAACAATTGAAAAAGGACTTTTTTCGTGGACCGTTCTGTGTTGAAATAAATGTGTTGTTTTGTCTACTTGTCGTCTTTGATTTCATGAATAATTCATCATTTAGTGTTTCCTATATTATCAAGATTTTTGCATCGTGAAATGCTAAGCTTCTTGTTCCGTCTAGGCATTATAATACCTTCACCATTCCATCAGCTGTTTCTGGTAGATATGGTATACGACAACTGTGGAATAAAGGGAATTATGGGGTTTTAGAAGATTTAAATATTTGACATCTCAAACGTTTAGTCTCGCGTGAATCAAATGAGGTTCAAGAAACACAGGCAAATGAAATAAGTAACTTATGTAAATATTACCATATTCCGGTCCCTCTTCTGGGGGACATTCACTAACGCAGTCCGGATCAGGAACACATCCCTTTCTTGGCTGATAAGACATTTTCTCTGGACAACATTTGACAAATGATTGACCTTTGTGACAGCCCCAGTATGAACGACAGCTGTTTTTACTTGCTCTGGTAAACAGAACCGGAGCTTTACATGGATCTAAAACATATTATTATACTTCATGTCAAAATGCATGATTTTGATTGGTTAATACGAGGGAGACAATTTACTCTATCCTATGGCAAACACTATATTACCCTTCACGGAGACGCTTGATCAAGTGTGCGCTTAATCAAATACGGATGATTGTTATGTATAAGACGTCATAGTTTATTACTTTGAATTTGAAATTTAATAGACAGTACTAACAGAACATTCAGTATAATAATTTAAATAACACATAGCTGAGAGGGTGATAGACCAGATTGTTACCCCTCGAAAAGATATTGTCAACCTTGGCTTCGCCTCAGTTGACAATGTTTTCTCAGGGTAACAATCTGCTCTATCACCCTCTCAGCTATGTGTTATTTATATAGTAATCAGAATTATATTGACAGTATTAGATTTTTATGTCAAAGCGGAAGTCAGAGTTTTCATCGAAATTATTGTTTTTACATATTTTTTTCAATTTGTTTTTTTATTTTTGTGTATAGTGTCTTCAAATGACACACAGTATTTCAATGTAGATTTACTGTTCTAGATGCTTGATATTTTCAGAGAACCATGCACAAGTTTTTCTTTTTCTTTATATTATGGAGAAATTACATATCCTTTTCGATTAACCATATAGTCCATAGAATACTAGTGAGGAGGGGGCAAACATTTTGTTTGTCAAAACCCGATGAGAGTTTAATAGAATAAAGATATATAAAAAAAAAGTAAAATAACAAAAATATTGAACTCCAAGGAAAATTCAAAACGGAAAGTCCTTTATATAAGTCACCTTTTCTAGCACTTCCGTATAACAAATATTCTCGTATTCCAACAAGAAGAATTTTAAGATTGTTATAAACTTTGGTATTTCAAAATTTTTGGGTTTCGGGTTAAATACTATTCTACATTATAGTAACACTAACTTGTTGGATAATTTCACATTTATTGATTTTTGAAAAATGGTAAACAAATCGTCAGAAAGTCAATCAAATAATTTGGAAAATATAATTTATATATATATGTAGGATTTAAAATGATGAAACGGGCTAATAAATTATATTTTTTAGAAATGAGATGTTAGTTGTCATTAAGATGTAAGTGGTTGTAACACTTTTGATTACGAATATTTTATATAAGTCAATTTAATTGCGGTCATAAACCACTTCATTATTAAAACATAAATAAATTATAATTGTAGACATTATTTTTGATAGCAACAACGAAGTTCATACATTTATTATTTTAGCACAAAGGTATTTCGAAAATAAAACGACACGAGGTTAAAAAAACTGAAAACAATAATTAGCAATTACCAGCATCATGTTAATTCATGTAAATATAACATATTAGTTGCTAAAAAGTAAAACAACAAAAATACCGAACTCAAAGGAAAATTCAAAACGGAAAGTCCCTTTACAATTGGCAAAATCAAAACCTCAAACACATCAAACGAATGGAAAACAACAACAACTTTCATATTCCTGACTTGGTACAAGCATTTTCGTATGTAGAAAATGGTGGATTAAACCTGGTTTCATAGCTAGCTAAACCTCTCACTTGTATGACATTCGCATAAAATTCCATTATATTGACAACAATGTGTGAAAAAAATAAAATGTCAAAATAGGGGTACAGCAGTCAATATTGTGTTATAATCTCAATCACTATAAATACAAACAAATATGTCAGGAAAGAAAAACAAAATGGCATATAAACAAAGCGCATACGCAACATTCAAACACAAGAATAGTCTTGATTGAGCCTGGATCCTTTTCCGTTTGGGCATAACCCAGATATTTTGACATTATAAAAAAATTTTGATCATGTTTTCATGTAATTATAATACTCTTCTAGCTTTTCATGATTTCCCCATATGAAAACAGAAAAGGTCAAGAATGATTGACATGGAACAGGAAAAAATAAATAATAACTTACAGTAATAAAAAATATGTTTACGAAAAGCGAGTCAGGTCGGTTGAGATTTGAAGTATAAGGAGTGGTGGAAGAATTTTACAAGTTTAAAGTTTTGTAAAAGTACAGATTTATTTTTCAACTAAGAGAGCAACCATTTGAGTTCCTGTAGGAGTTATGAAATGACGTGAGCTCAAAGGTCTTGAAATCACCCCCCCCCCCCCCAAAAAAAAAAAAAAAAAAAACACACACTCACACATCCTTGAATCGGTCTGATTAAATTAACTTTTTATCTTATAATTTTAGTAGGTAGTCCTTATATATCTTTCATTTTAAACTAAAAGATATAAGTCGAACGGACCTGCCATGAGCGGGGTTCGAACTCACAACCTCAGCGCTGAAAGGATAGTGGTCACTGTAGATGACATACTCAGACCATACGGCCAACGACCTAATACTAAATAAAGCTTTACGATTTTCGTATAAATTACCATTTGGACAATTAGCTATTTGTGCATCAACACAAGCAACATTATATTGATCCCAATACTCTCCGAATGAACACGATTTTACTGATGCTCGTGTATTACCAAATCCATCAAAATAACATTGGATAAATTTATCACAGTCTGTTGGGTGTACTTTGTATCCCACTCCACGAATCATCTTGGAATTTCTGCATAAATCTGCAACAAATAAAGGTTCAGACTAAATTATTCATCTATTGAAAATCTGATTTTAGCTTATTTCAATATTTCATATAATTTCATTTTGTTTCAAAATTCTTTGCTTGAAACATGGAGCATTGGAAATCTAATTTACTTTATAAAAAGCACTATTTGCCATCTTTAAGTGTCAACAGTCCTCTAGTTAATCTCCTCCCTTACCTGGAGACAATGATTTCATTGAAATGTTTATCGAATACTATAGTTGATATACATTCAAATTGATTGCTTGCATATATTGTGTGTAACTGAAATATATAAATCATATATTCATGACAGTGTTTAAAACGATTGGAAATGAAAATGAACGAAATGTTGGACAGAACATTCTTAATTAGATTTATCATATAATATAAGTAGATAATCAAGCCATTATTAGTATCATTTTATGAACAGGTCCTGTAAAAAATCGCTTTTAAAGCATGTTGCAAAAAGAAATGTGGTGTAGTACATTTTGAACAATACATTGAAAAAAAATTATTAATAATTTCCATATCATTATGCTTATCCCTAAAACAATTGCATGTGACGGTTCTGTCATGTTGACAAATATCCCGATGATTTTAAGTTTGATCTCAATATATCATATTAAGCTTCTTGAACATTGAAAAAAAAACACTATTTTTTTTTATATTGTCAAACATGCAAACGAATACATGTATGACAAACAGACCGTGATCAAGTTTTTCACTAATAAAGACATGAATAAAATATTGTATTAACTTGAATGAAATTACAGTAACTCAATTATACATAAATCGAGAGACAACTAGACTAAGTGGTCAACATACTACCTTGAATAATAGCTAGGTGTCGTTACCAAATTTCAAGGTCTAGTTATTTTGCACAATAACAGTAACTCAATAATACATAAATCGAGAGACAACTAGACTAAGTGGTCAACATACTACCTTGAATAATAGCTAGGTGTCCTTACCAAATTTCAAGCTCTACTTAGTATTGCATAATAATAGCTACTCGACACAATATAACAATTTCAGCGTGTTTGCTGCGCTCATGTATAAACAAATAAAATGTTATGACTTGGATGTGATATTTTTACGATATCTACATGAAGAATATTCAAACCATACAAACCTCATTTAAGAATTGAATGCTTCTTTTTGTTAATTCATTGGGGTGTAAAAGCGTTGACCGAAGTACATTTTGTATGAAGCGCAGAAGCGCTTCATTAAAAAATGTACGCACGGTCAACGTTTTAACAACCCTATGAAATTATTAAAAGAAGCATTCAATGCTTATAATTACATTTTTTTCTCTATGATCATGAAAACACGATTACTATCAAGTTTTTTTCTTTTATTTACCTGTGCACTTCATTGTGGAAACGTGTGTCATCATGATTGTATGTTACAATTCGTGCAATTCATTTTGAAATGAAGAACGACGCGAAATTGCTGTTAGCCAATCAAAATAACGTATAATAATGAAACATACATCTAATGTAATTATTAGATATTACTGTATATTCAGAAATCATTTTAAAAAATTGAGACGGCATAGGTTTTGCAAATAATGAAACCTCTCATTTGATATATTAATTTGATTATTTATAGTGTTAGTAAATACATGTACGAATTTCAGAAGTTATAGTTATAAATATGTATCTGCCATTTACTGTATACTCGACTAGGCAGTACCAAAGACAGTTTTGGTATGTTATTTATCTAAGCGTTTGTAAAAAAAAATACTAACATTAATCACTGAAATATAACTTTAATACCTTCAGGTTTTTTTCGCAAAAGCGATTTATCGTCTTCATCTGAATCTGATGTATTCCAACTTTCTTCCGAATTTGAGCTGTCGGAAGAACTAGCATCACTATCATCGCTATTATTAGAGCTGTCAGAAGAACTAGCGTCACTATCATCGCTTTTATCAGAGCTGTCGGAAGAAGTAGCGTCACTGTCATTGCTGTTGTTAGAGCTGTCGGAAGAACTAGCGTCACTGTCATTGCTGTTGTTAGAGCTGTCGGAAGAACTATCGTCACTATCATCGTTACCATTATTTTCATCACTGCTATCATCACTGGTACTTGAGTTAGAGTTAGTTTCATCATTACTGTTGTCATTAGAGTTATCACTTTCATCGCTAGATGATGCATCACTATCCTTGCCGATTTCAGATTTATCGCTTTTATCACTGGATGTACTATCACTATTCTCATCAGAATTTTCATCATCGCTGCTATTTCCAGAATTGTCATTCTCGTCAGATTTTTCAAACATGTCACTTTCGTCATGACTGTTACTACTTCTCTTATGCCAATCGTCACTTTCATTGTAAGAGTCATTATCACTTCCAGATGATGCACCACTACCTTCACTTTTATCGTCAATTTCGTTGCTCGTGCTAGTGTTCACATCACTATCGCTATTAGACCTAGAGTTATCGTCACTTGCACTTCCTTTGCCGTTGTTTTCGTCACTTTCGTCACTTTCGTCTGAACTGTCATTGTTCTCGCTATTTTTACTTTCATCGTTGCTAGCTCTTCGTTTTGCTGCTGGAATTTATATAAATATAGTAGGTTTAGTATTTATATTATTTTGCACTAGTTTGCTTTTAAAATTTATTATAGTTAGTGATTTTATATGTGAAGGTAATTGGTGTGTTTCTATATCTTCCTTTAGTTTTTTTTCCAAAAATGAAATGAAAACTGCCCAACTCTGAATTTTGATACATTTGCTAATCTTTTATGAACATTCAGTGCTAATCTTTTATGAAGATTCAGTTTTGTTAGTTTTTATTGACTTCTCAAAATCTTTTTTTTTTATGTCAGCTTGTGAGGAACAAGAATTAAAACAGCCAAACTAATCAATTGGCATACAAAATTAACATACGCAATATGTTTGATAATACATTATAATTGTCTTTCTGTCACTAATTGATGTATATATATATATATATATATATATATATATTCTTGTTCTTGTAACATCATAACTGTCGTCACCATTAAAGCTTTAGAATTGTGCTAGTTCATATCGCAAATTATTATTTTTATTTAAAGCATATATTTGAACTCTCTGCTGTAATTAGTCATATAACCTATGTCGTGTTTAACACATATTTAGAATTGTGCAAGCGTCTTACCTGATGTTCGGTTTGACTTTTTTATTGTATAAATTTCAAGATTGTTATAGTTTAATTTAAGTAGACTGATATATGATTCATTCAACATCACAATCATATTTACTGATGAAGGATATCTGTTATCCGAAATATTTATAAATAATTACATTTATAGTTCCTTTTTTTGTTATTGGTGTTGTTGTGTACACTTTTTAGGCGTTTATATAATTTATTTATTGTGTACATGTATCGTTACTAGTAACGATCCAGCGCCCTCGTGGGAAACATCGTTGACTATTATTTAGACGTTTTATATATATATATATTGTATATATTGTATATATTGTATATATATATATATATATTGAGTTAAATTGTATGGCTTTCCAAATACCTTTTCGATTTCTAACATCACTGAAGAGACATTAATTGTCGAAATCCGGATATGGTGTACAAAAACCTTTGCACCTTTTGTTTGCGGTATATCATCTTTTCCGCAAGTTTATTTTTTCTGTTAAGTATTAAATTTATAATTAAGATCCATTCATTACATCGGTGATCCGTTTATTTGGCAATCGCTAATGGCAGTCAGCAGGGTTTAAGAACATTTGTTGTTCGACCTGTTAGTCAAATTTTTGAAATACTTACCTGTATTACTGAACTATTTTTATACATATAATCAGTATAGTTAAAATTATTGACACTGAGGAAGGCTATTTGTTAAGCCGAAATATTTGTCAACACGATTTAATAACAACATCTTCGTATAATACCATCTTATATTAGTATCGTTGTGCAAATCTCTAGACTTATATAATTTTTCCTTATCTGCACAGTATCGTCTATTCTAGACGATCCGGTACATAGTAAATTTGCTGGTTGGTCCTTTTTATAGACTTCTATATATATATATGTATATAATAAAAAATATAACACAAATTTTTATACGTTTCTGCCATTACGGTCTTTTCTATGAGAATTGAATTACAACATTAAAACAACAATTACATCACTTGGATACTTACGTTATAATAACTTCTATGACGTTCATTAGCCGCGCTTTTTCCTTTTTTATGATTTTTTTTTACTTCCGTTTGTGAACAGTGTTCAGTCCCAATTTATATGTTTGATTATACATTGTTAATCTGTCGGTAATTAATATATAAACAAATTGCAGCAAAGATTTTCAAAATCTTTGATTTAAACATAAATTTTATGTCAGCTTGTGAAGAACAAGAATAAAACAGTTGTCTTTTACCAATAATGAATCGCAACGATAAATTAATTTTAAATTTGAATGAAGAAAAAAGAGAAATTTGAAAATATTGAAAAAAGCAATAATGATCATTACCTTTACAAATATACAAAGGTAGTTTATCTGCATTTTCGTAAACTTTACCGGCCCTGTTATATGTATAAACCATACTACGTCTAGTTGCAACTTCCTCAAAGTCATGCCTGACTGCTCCTTCGCCATATCCTATTGTCATTACATTTATTTCTTCCTCCCTCGCCATTTTTGCCTGTTGCGATGTTGGCTTCGTGTATTGTTGCAACCCACTTGCAATGAAAACTATAACTTTTTTTGTGCTGTCTGGTATATCATCTGAAAACGCCCCTCGACCAGCAAGTATACCTAGATATGGTTTATTAGAACCTTTGGACGTTTTTATCGTTTGGATTGACCTTGACATAACAGACGCATTATTCGATAAGTGTATCACGTCTGAGATTCTTGATCCGTATGAAACAACCCCCATTCTCATTTGTCTATAATCTTGAAGCATTTTTGAAATTTTGATTAGCGTTTGTTTGATATATCTGAACTCCTTTTCTGAAACATCATCTGAGGAGTCAACCACAAATATGACATCTATGTTTTTGCAAGCTGAAATAATAATAAATCATGATGCGTAATTGGAAAACCCTGAACACGAAATATGTTAAGTTACGAAATTTTATCACTGTATAATATTGAACAAACCAAGATTAATGAAAGGAGATTTAATCGAGGTTAATGTTCAACGAACCAAGACTAATGAAAGGTGATTTAATCGAGGTTAATGTTCAACAATCGATCTCAATTGAAAACGTTCAAGACAAGAGACATGTAAATATGTCAGCAATTGCAGATCCTTTTCTTGTATTTACAGCAGGTATTCTATTGACATTAACAAGACTACATTGAGAACAGTTACAATATTTATGTCATATAAACATGCATTGAAGTTACCGAATCGGTGGCGTATAACTGGTTTTGACTATAGGCCACCTGATATCACTTCTAGCACAGATAAGGATCATGTTGCCAAATACTTTATTTCTAAGTACATGCTACCCTTATCCCGCTTGTTCGTACACCTGTTTTATTGCTTCGGATAAATAATCACATATTGTAACCTCTGGATTTCGATACGCAATTAGACACTTTGGTGTTACCACGAGGGTGAGAGATCGACGATGAGGTTGAACAAAATACTTAAGAATAGGTAATTGATATATCTTTACTTGACATGTGTCATATTCAGAGGTAAACACAATGATTCGGTGGCTAGAAGTCAGAATAATGTGTCCAAATGTCGCAACATATCCTACTCACCTTGTCATTATACCACAAAGCGAGGACATATTACATTAGCATGTATAACAAGAGAGGCGAAGGATACCAAAAGTGACATTCAAACTCACAAGTTGAAAATAAACTGACAACTGTCCTGAATATGCATGATTTTGACGCTGGAAATCATACATTCTTGTGATTTTCTTTTATGAAGGGTTTTGTCTTTCACTATACATGCTATATGGATGGAGAGTTGTCTCATTGGCACCCAGACCACATCTTCTTATATCTATATATGTATTGAATCTGTGTTGTGCTTGCTACTATCCAGAAAATGGGAAAATTTGGTAAAACATATAATATTTTGATATTTTGAAAATGCATGACGGGTGATACATGAATAGCAGGAGATACGTACCCTGTCGACGTATACTACGCTCTCCGTTTGGAGTTCATGCTATGTAGACTGATTTTGTTTTTTAGCATAACATTTTATTTCTTAATGTAGTTATACGATTTGGACATAGGTAACTACTATTGCCTCTAATGTTTACCAACCAAAATTTACCGTACAATAACATTATCTTATTTAAAAGTTTTTAATATGGAGCAGTTTGCCACAAGACTTACAAATCAAATAGAAATAAATTCTTTTCAACTTTAATATTTTACTGTAAGACTATCTGGTTAAAAATATGGTTAGAGTGCAAAGCTGGATTATAAGTGGATTATATATGCAAAAATAATATCACTGGAATATTGTGTTTTAGATATATGTTAGTGTGTGTCTTAACCGTATAACAGGAATTGTTCGTATATGTTTAATTTTCACATTAGCTGATAGCCGCAGTCAATTATTTCGCTAATTTTGATCTCTCGAATATTTCCACCTATGTTTAAATGCAATGGAAATTATTGTAAACACAGTTATAACCCAAGTTAACATTTTGTTGTCCCATTTTACCTTGTAATTTGACTTTTTTTTCTCTAGTTGTTATGTTCGTGTGTTTCTTTGTCCTATATGTTCTCCCATTTATTTGTATTGTAATCCTGTCGTGTAATGTTGTCATTTTAATGTTATATTTAACATTGCCATAAAAGCTGGAGGTTTGGCTAGCCACCATTTTTTTCTTAAAATGTCCTGTACCAAGTCAGGAAAATGGCCATTGATATATTATAGTTCGTTTCTGTGTGTGTTTCATTTTAATGTTGTGTTTTTGTTGTGTCGTTGTTCTCCTCTTATATTTGATGCGTTTCCCTCAGTTTTAGTTTGTAACCCGGATTTGTTTTTATCTCTATCGATTTATGAGTTTCGAACAGCGGTACTCTACTGTTGCCTTTATTTACAACTATTTGGATTTAAACAACTAAGCCTTAAAGTGTCGGATGTATATTGCAGGATAAAAACAATATATAACAATGTACATTGTCGGATGATATAAAATTTATTTGTACTAGCTACGAAACAGGAGAAAAGCTCGATGAGCCTCGCTTTTCGTCCTGTTTCTAAAGCTTGTACAAATAAATTTTATATTTTCCGACAATGTACATACATTGTACATATAGATGAAAATAAACTTACAAGTTGTCTTCCTTCGCCCTATTTTTTTGTCTCTCGATTTTTCACTGGAGTCATTTGAATCCTCACTTCTTTTGTCCGAACGTATATTAGAATTATATTTGTTCTTCCTTTCCCGAATATTTTCACTACTATCGGATGAATCTGAGTCATCTTGTTTCAAAATTGTTCTCAATGGATTTATAGTTTTTGAATCTTCACCAATAACATTAGAATTGATATTCCCATAGGTCCAATACATTTTATCGTTTTCTTTTTTACCCTCGCTTCGATTGTTTCTGTTCAAATCAAATAACATCTTGATTTGGTTCTTTCCAAGGAAATGTTCTCCTTCAATATGATGTATATCAAGGTTGGTACCCTGTAGCACTTCTGAACTTGCACTATTTTCAGGAAGTTGTTTGTCATTTTCGTTCTGCTTTTTGTTAACATGCAATTTTCCATAAACAGCAAATAAATTTTGATCTGAGTCATCATCATATACATTGAAAAATTTAGGCTTGTAAGAAAATTCTGAATGTTCTTGATTCTTGTACTTTATTCCATGGCTTTCAATTCTCTGGGACTCTTCATCACTAGCCTCGTTTTCAAAAGTTTTAGACAGAGAGTCGATCTCAGTTGTCTGATCACCTACAAGGTTTTCCTTTCCATTAAAGGAAACATTTTCATTATCATCAGTAATGTCATTGCTGTTTGAATCATCTTTTCCATTGTTGGTTACATCCACTGCCTCATCTGAGGAATCGGACGCGGCATTTTCAGACAAACCTTTGTTTGAATTGAAACCAGCAGTTACTGTTGAATCGTCCATTAGTGACAAATCTACATCTCCTTTTACATCATTTGAATTAGTCCCGTCACCATCCGTATTTATCTGTCCTGCAGATCCGAAAGTATTTTCATCTTTTAAACTATCAGTTAACAAATAAACATTATCAATGCCAGTTGGTGGACCAGTTTGATCATTATTGTCATTAGTGCTACCACCCTGAATGTTAGAATTTCTGATTATTGCATTACCTGATTCAATATCTGACAGTGCATTATTGTTACTTGAACCCTCACCTGTCAAACCAATACTACTTTCAGCAGCTATATCACCACCATCTAAAATTTCAGTTTCTCCCTGTACTTGGTCAGTATTTGAATGATCTCCATTTGAGACAGAAGGAGCATCTACTGAATCACCCTGTGACGTGGGATTCAGTTGGAAACCATTTTCACGTTCTGCAGCTACTGTTGGGTCGAAAGACGGAACATCTCCTATTGTTAGGTCTACATTGGCATTTAATTCTTGTCCATCTTGCACGTTGTCGGGTTGAACCTGCGTGTTTGTCTCTCCGGAATCTGTTAATAGATAACATTTCTTGGGTTTTTTTGTGGATGACATATTTTCATGGCATATTTTTAATTTTATTCTCCTCATAAAAATGATATAAAAAGTGTGAAATGTATCAAACAATAAGTGTGTAAATTAAGAAATGAATCAATAATAATTATAATAATAATAATAATAATAATTACTATTATAAATTTCATGGTAACGATGCAATTCCTTTTCCCCACTAATGTTATTATTTCTTTTCATTCTTCCTTATCATTTGAACTTGTATCTTACATTGACCTTTAAAGTTATTGTTTTATGTGTTTGGATTTGATCAGAAGTAAACAAATTCGCCACTAGTTACCTTGTTAATTAGAATACATAAAAGTTCTAAAATTAATAAACAAACATGATTTCCTTCTGATTATCTATTAAAAAGTATCTAATTAATTTAATAAGGTCACGAATCATAATTATGTAGAACAAAACACATTACAAAAATACATAAAAAGAAAATAAAAGTCACAAGTAAAAGAAGGAAGACACACACTGCTATTATTAAGTAAGAACTGCGATATTACAAGGCTGAAAAGAATTAAAATATCAACGGCCTGTTGCTATATTTTTTCTAGAGTTGTTCTCAGAATTTTAGGAGTTAATGTGATCAACTGATGAGGATCATTTGATAATTGAGTACACGGAAAGAAAATAATTATTACCTCATTTTGAGGGAATCACCAACCAAGTAAACTGAACATCTGTGTTGACATGAATTATCATTACTATGGTCATGATTATAAATTTGTAAAATAAGAATTCTGGTATCCATGACGAGTTTATTTATTAACTGTTCACAAAACTATGAATTTTTCGAAATACTGTGGATTCTCCACCCCAGGAATAGACTACCTTAGCTGTATTTGGCATAACCTTTCGACATTTTAGGTACTCAATGCTCCTCAACTTCGTACTTATTCAGCCAATTTAGATTGTTTGATTCAAGGGTAGGTGATGAGAATATATTTGATTCTAATATAAACATTGGGTACACACAAATAAAGCCAATTTCGAACTAGATGATGGCTCCTTTAAATTGTTAGCTTTTGTGCATATAGAAAGATCCTTCAAATATCTCAATAATGTAGACAATAGTCCGGAAGACATTTAGTGTATTAGAAGCGACCACGAAACAATTTTATATAATAATCGGTAAAAAGAAAATTGTAATGTCAACTCCAGTGATAAATATGAGAGTAGCTTACCGAACTGTGTTAAGATATAAATAGTTTATGTAAAAATATACATACATTGAAGTATATCAGAATGACGTAGTCGTTTGAGGTATATATTAGTTTGTGTGTATCACCCGCCATGCGTTCAATAGCAGTTACAGATATAACTTATTATGATGTTGTTTGTGCCGAGAATGAACAAGAACTCTGTTTTTTTTTCTTTTTAAAGAAATGTAACTGTTTAGTATCAGAAAAAGACAACGTCGTATCGTTTTCTTTGTAATGTAATCAGGATAAAATATATTCTACTTAATTATTGATATACTATGAAATGTCAAAAATCAAATAACTTTATTGACATCAACTATGTTTGTTATTGTTTGAAGTGAATTTTATTTGCGTCATTAAGAAAAATATATCGTCTAATTGTTCTGGTCGTTTAAGAAAAATCAAAATGCAACTTCCTTCTATAAAGCAACAATTGGCAGACAAATCATTTCAAAATAATGGTTTGCAATATTAATTAATTGACCTTTTCTTCCATATTTAACTTTGTGGTCAATGGGAAGAAGTTGGTGCTAAATACACAGCTCTGTCTAATACCAAATCATAAATAAATTTGGCCATGATACTGTCAATAATAAACATAAGCATTAATTACAAATGACCAAAAATATGTTTAATTTATAACTTGTTAACTATTATTTATTAATCTAATTCATATGTAATTATCTGTAATGGTTGATTGCATCCAAAAATATAAAACAACAGAAATAATTTCCTGACATTGTGTATTAAGGTATAAAATGCACTTCTTGACCTTATCTTCCTTCCCTTCTACATTTTATATAGTATATCGTTCAATTAAATTACAAACCGGATCATGTTAATGAGGAATTGTCTTACATCATAATAATTGTGCTAATGAATAAATTTAAAATGTAAAACCACATTACATGATTAACAAAAGTATGAATATAGATAAATATTAATTATGACAGTTCGATTCATTAAAACTACTGAATGTCATTCAGTAAAAAACGGTTGATGCATGCCTAGCAGGATACGCTTATCCGGTAGACGCAACCGGTTCTCTCCCTTGGAGTTTGTATAACTGTTTTCATCTTTTCGTATCTCGACTTGTTTATTCTACTATGATTCAAGAGATTTGAACATCGACAGCTAATTTATGAACAGAATTTTATCAGTTTTCTTTGCAGTTTATCATTAGTCCTGCTTTAACCGATATATAAAAAGACAGCCACTAACATAGGTGCTAGATCAGAATTAGGTAGATTTTCTTTGGACTCTTATATAAAAACTCAAACACTCATGTATTTTTATAGAATAAACTGTAATGATATTAATCCCCTGGTTAAAGAATCTCTACAAACAAACATAAATTTACATTCGGCAGGAATTTATTCTTGGTACTCATTTGCAGATAAAATTTTTAAAGATATGAAAATAAACCCAGAAAATTACTCTAATATTAATGTACCTTTTAAACAATCAAAAAACGTGTTAAAATGTAATATTAAAAAGTGTGTTTCAGAGGAATATTAAAAAACTACTTTAAATAAACTTTCAAAATTGGATTACTCATCCAAACTTTGTCTCTATGGGAAATTAAAAACTAATTGTTAGTCTGAGGAATATTTAAATTGCAATAATTTTATACATAGGCAGTTTCTCTCAAAATTTAGACTCAGTGATCATTCCCTAGGCATTGAATTGGGAAGGTACAGAAACATTCCAAGAGCAAAAAGATTATGTAAAAAATGTGGAGTCCTAGATGACGAATTTCATTTCTTTTTGTATTGTGACATTAACATATCATTGCGTTCCAATTTTTTTGCTTATCTAAAAGATTATGTACCATTATTTCAACATCTTGATCCATTTAATAAACTAAAACACATTCTAAACCCCATCCCTGAACTTGTTTGTCATATTGGAGTCTTTATTAAGCAGTCTTTAGAACTGAGGGGGTCAGACTCATGTCAGACAAGCTTATGATTGTGTTTTTTACATAAATTTAAAATTGAACTCTTAAAATATGTTCTATTATATTGTATTGTATTACATTGTATTGCATTGTATTTAAAATGTGTGTAATTGTTTGTATTGCTTGACCCTTATGGGTGTAATTTTGCAATAAAGATTATAATATAATACATAATCTTGATTTTCAGATTTTTTTTTTAATATTTTAAAGTCACTCTAAACTTTTTGTCCTTCTTTTTTATTTGCAGTTCTTTCTGTCATTTGGTACTTTTCGAGCTGGCATTTTTTTAATGTTTTCGGTCGTTTTATGGTCTTATATTTTGTCTGGTTTCTATGTAGCAATGATAATGTTTTAGGTATTTCAAGTCGCTATACATTTTGAGGTCTGGAGCTGGCATGTCAGTAACTGCTAGTAGTTCTTTGTTAATTTATGTATCATTGTCATTTTGCTTAGTTTCTTTTGTTACCTATTCTAACATCGAACTCGGACTTCTTTTAAATTGAGTTTTACTGTGCGTATCGCTGTGTGTTTCTTTATTCTACATTGGCTAGCTATATATAGAGGTATAGGGGGAGGGTTGAGATCTCACAAAACATGTTTAACCCCGCCGCATTTTTGCGCCTGTCCCAAGTCAGGAGCCTCTGGCCTTTGTTAGTCTTGTATGTTTTTTAATTTTTTATTTTAGTTCACTTATATGTTTTGGAGTTTAGTATGACGTCCATTTTCGATGAACTAGTACACATTTTTATTTAGGGGACAGCTGAGGACCACCTCCGGGTGCGGGATTTTCTCGCTGCGTTGAAGGCCCATTGGTGGCCTTCGGCTGTTATCTGCTCTTTAGCCGGGTTGTTGTCTCTTTGACATATTCCCCATTTCCATTCTCATTTTTATCTCTATCTTAACAGGTAAAGATTGTACTATGTTGATAAATATGATTCATGTTTTATGGTAAAAAGCATTGTGTATAAGTTTAATAACATACAAACCCTCGATTTATATTATGAGCATAACAAAATTACAATTTAAAGAAAATTATTGTATGCCCAATATGTGCCTTCCAAACATTTTGTTTCACGTCAATGGTGCTCGCATCTAAGTATTAAAATCCAAAATTTATAGACGTTCAAAACGAATAAACCAAAAAGGCCGCAAAAACAATCTCGGCAAAAACTGATAACCGAAGTATTTGAATTATTCGTTTTGAAATTTCAAATTCAAGTCTCGGTCAACTATTGTAGCCTAATATA